TCTAATACAAACCTCCTTATATTTCCGACAAGTCTAAATTACGGATCCCCTCCACTCGCCTTTCCGAACGAAATGAAAAATACGAAAACATGAATTTACTAGGGGTTTTTTCAAAGCCCTGTTCCTTTTCACATATTGACACACTTTGTCCTATTTGTTTCCTAATTAATTATAGGTTGTCATACTATTAATATAATATTCGTTCCTATCTGCTGTCGCACGCTCATCTCTTCCTCCTGCATTTCAAGAGTAATACTCCCTATTTTTCCCTTAACATGCCACTTTTTATTTATTTCATCAGACGACTTCTCACGATCTAATTACCATATCACCGTGAGTTCCTCTCCTAGACCCGAGATGGCCCGCTTTGAACTTAATTGTACTTCATCTTCTGACGCAGTCGTTTCTACTGTCGGAGCCTTACCACTTTCCCCACCTCCATCATCTTCCTATCCCAGCCATCTCTCATCAGCTTATTCAAAACCTCATAAGCCGCTGTTTTCTTATCCCCAACACACTACCAGCACAATCCATTCTTTAAATAAAGCCACTTGTTCCTGGAATTTCAATGCTTTATCAGATGATCCTGCCTCGAATAAATATTTGGGATCCGAGATGACTGATGGGGACAAAGAGTTTTGCATGCTTGGGAACAAACATTGGATACAGGCGATGCCAGACCACTCATATGACAGTGTTGCTGACAGGCGAGAGACAATTTTTATCGATGATGGAAAGTTTAGTACCGGAGTTATTGGTGTCGCTGAACATCTCTGTGAAACTGGATTAAAAGGCTGTGTTGGGGAAAGTAAAGGGGCTTCCTCCAGCTCCTCGGCATTAAACGATATTCTGACTTCACAATTGCTAAGCATGACTACCAGCCAGGATGGCCTTAGCTCATCGCCTTTGCTGGCTAGTATTCCAGTATCAACTAGCACTCTACCCAAACAGCTCGATCTGAAAGCTATATGTCCTGATATCGGATCTAACATTATAATTAATTCACATCTCAGTATTGTCGACGACCATGCTATACAGGCGTTGGTTTCTCATTGCAACACCAGCGCAATCACCCACTCTTCTCAAGTATCAGAATTCTATCCAACCTGCGAGCCGATATCAAGCCATAGCTGTGGGTACCAAAGCTATAGTGAACCTATACCCGAAGATAGAGCCAAGCATAACACTGCTTTGGTTATGAAAGAAGAAAAAACTAAGATCTACCAGATACCTCAGCTGAGTCGGTTAGGCTCTGTTTCAATTTTTTCGCAAGGTTCGATTTCATCTTCTTCTAAACCCGACAGTCCGATTGGCTTCTCTGAAAGAGTCTGCATAGAGGATTGCACAACGACATCTTTGTCGCCGGCTATTTTTAACAAAAATGTGCCAACTCAGGATGAGTACAATGATGGTCCATCACCCTACTATAATCTGACTAGTGCTGAGGTGATTTTGCTTTTAATATACCTTATTGAAATGTTGCTTCTTTCGTAAAATTTAGCATACTTTATCTATAGATGTGCTTAGCACAAGCTATGCATAAATACTTCCAACACTTACCATCAGGTCACTATACATTGTGAACTTAAAGCCCCATATGCCTTATTCGCATTATCGGTTATCCAAGGTACTAGCTCGTCTACGCGCTTTTAGATGGATTGTGGCATATGATTAAAGAAAGCAAACACTTAGTTATTAGAACCGTTTATTTACAAAAAAATGTGAACAGTTTATCCCCCACAGGTTATATTGATGCGGGTGCATCAGTACCAGGATCGAGAATGCATTCACTCATCTCCAGATCGGGCTGTTACAAGATTTTGTGTTCATGTGGTGGTGCCTATGTGGGAGAGACCTGTAGACCACAACGTAAGAGGTTATCCGAACACAAAACAGCCTGCGAGGGTATGCGGGTCAAAAAATCGGAATTAGCCGAACACTGCTCACACAGGACGCCAGGTAGATTGGTCTAATGCCAAACGCTCAGCCGAATATGGAGACTATGCCAGTAAACGTAAGATTAGGGAGGCGATATAAATAAATAAAACAGCCAAACTTTGAATAGAAGAAATGAGTGTAGGAAGTTAAGCGGAAACTATTTGTGGCTATTGAATAGATTTAGGGAGAGAAAGGAGGGAACGAGAGGTAC